CTTTCAGGCAACAGCTTTCCTCACCATTCCCCTTCAGCACAGAGGAAGAAGAAATGGAACTGACTCATTAAAATGCTTTTACAAAAATATTGTGTATGTATTATAGCCATTTTCTGAGAGTGTGTGCACACCAGCTCACTGAGGCCTTGTGAAAGGAAACCCAGAGAGAGGTGGTGCAAGTCAGCATGTGGGTTTGGTGGGAAAATCACCTCTTTTCCAGTACCACATGTTCACAGGCTCAAATCCTTAGAAGGAGATGAATGGATGTAAGGAGCAGGGACTTCTCAGGATACCACTCCATTGCTCTCTCTACCATCCCAGGAGCTGGCAGGGATGATAACTGTGACAGATCCTGCTCTGTCTGTTGCTTTGTGAGCTTTGCCTCTATTTCTGGGGATTTCTCCATAGCTGCATCCTTCCCCAGCAGGACTTGACCCCAGTCACAGGGGTGCTGCAGTTCCCTGCAGACTTGCAGCATCAAGATTGCAGCTGCATCACATGGAGCAGCACCCCACAGGAGCACAGCACACACTGGACAGTTGCCACACTGTCCCAACTCCACCTTATGTCCCATCCCACCCTGAGGAGGTGCCTTCAGCACCTACCACCTGCTTCTCTTTCCTGGAAAAGCTCAAGGAGTGACTTAATGCACTGAGAGCTGGAGCTGTTCTCCAAGTGAGACCAACAGAGACCAGTAGAGAGAACCAACAGGGAATAATGCTGCTGGATCTGCAAAATGTAATCCACCTAATGCCATGAAGGAATGTTAGTAGGATTGCTTGGAGCATCTTCTGAAGAAATTTCTGGATTAAATTGAAGACATGCTTAGCTCTCTCCCCACTCTCCTCAAATCCTCTGGATTCCTTCCAGTTGTTGCTTAACCTTCCCTGCTTCTATACCTTGCTCTGAAAACTGATGCAGCCCTTGCTGTGGCCTGCAATAAGCAGCCTCTCCTCTCACTTGGCAGCTGTGCAGGAAGCCAAGGTGCAGTCTTCTCTGCCCTTGAAGGTCTCCTCCTCTGTTCAGAAAAAGACCTATTGTCTCCTCTCCCTGTGGAGAGCAAAACTCTCCCATTAGGGACACATGCTCCAAGCTGAGCACCAGTGCTGACCAGATGCTGTGACCCCACAGGTGGCTGGGAGAGAACCAAGCTTCAAGAAGTTCCATGGTTGGACTCTTAAAGGTCTTTTCCAACCAGAATTATTCTGTGATTCCACGATCCTGTGGAAATTCTCTGGCAACACTGCCTGAGGAGGAGGAGAGGCTCTGATCTGCACACAGCAGCCTTGGACCCCAGCAGTGCCCAGAGGAAAGGGCAGGACTTGGGTCACCTCCTCATGGTGCAAACAGAGGCAGGTTCAGCTTCAGAGATCACTGACCTCTTGCAAATGCTCTCCTGATGAGGGGGCTGGGATGAGGCAGGGAAGGAAATCTCTGCAGCATCCTGTGGTTCTAGGTAGCTCACATTTGCTGTCAGGAGAACTGCAAGAGGTGGCCAAGGTAATTAACAGCCACCTGCTCAGCCCCCAGGCTGCTATTCCTTGCTCCAGAGACTGAAAAGACATCTCTGACAGCTTTTTACAAACATGAAGTCCCTACTTTATTGACATCCTTATCTCAAGGCATGAAATAAGAGAAGCCAAGGCAAAGAGAAAAACCACAGGAGGACTCCCCAGGAAAAAAACAGAGTCAGAAACTCGAGCTCTTCCAAAGAGACCATTAACTCCTCCCCTAACACTGAATTACTGCAAATATTCAGAGTTCTTGTGCCCTAGGTGAGCTGTCACACTGTGTCTTGTCACCAGTGGGCAAGTCACATTGTGCCTCTCCCTGGAAGGAGAGCTGAACCTTTCAGAGCCCCCTTCCCTCTCCCACATTTGTCAGAAGCCTGAGATAAATAAACAGTAATGATAATTTTTTTAAAAAAAAAGGTTTTTTGACAAAAGCACCTAATACTCCTGCTCTGAGTTTTCAGCTTATAATCTCTCTCCTTGTGACATAACTCCACCAGCAAGTTCAGTGGCCTGCAGAAAACATCAGCAAAATCAGAAAAACTGCAATTTCCACACGTGTATCCACAGAGGCACCAGAAACTCACAGGCAAAATCAATATGGTCAGAAGGGGGAAAGAAAATACATAAATTCAATCTTTCTAGGGCCTTCTTCAACATAGCAAAAAGAATCAATGAAGAAACACAATTCAATTTGTTTTTCCCCAGTGCTGGTCACCCTTAACCAAAAAGTCCTTCCCTGTACAACACCTGCCCTGCCTTCAGTTTTCATAAGCAGCACAGAGAGAGCCAGTGACCTCAGCAGTTGCATGCTGTGACAATAAATAAAGTCAGAAGCTTGTCCAAAACACCTTCAAGCCCTTTGGCCAACATCAGCTGGGAACACACACGTGGTAACAAGGGAGGAAACACAAGGCCTGGGGCGCCAGAGAAAGCTCCATCAGGTGGCTCAGAAACACTGGCATAGGTGCAGTTTCTCATAAATGCATAAAAAGATGCAAAGGGTCCTCTTCCCAGCCCTGTGGGCCAGGCTCTTGGCCTGCAACACAAGCAGCTCTGAGGCAGGGAGCAAGCCTGGAGCTCCAGCACGTGCCACCACCTCCAGCTGGGAACAACAACCTGCCCCGAGCCCTGCCACGCGTCCTAGGTGATGGTGGGAAGCAAAAAGGACTAAATTCAAAGCAGGTTTTCAGCTGGGGAGGGTTGGGGAGGATCCAAAACTGCTGACTGGGGGGGAGAACAAAGCCAGATGGCATATGCTGGTATTGTTAGGGATTGTGCAGTGTAAGGCAATAGGAAACGAGCAGAGCAAAAGACCCAGTTTGGTCCCATGGCTCTTCTCTTGCCAAATGAACATACTGGGGTGACCATGAAACAATCAGGTTCTGGGTTTCATTCCCCTCCACCCCCAGACTGAACTTTAATATTTGTATAAGCCCAGGAGTAACTTTTATCTCATGTTTTCCTTGGGGTTTACTAGCTGTTTAGAGCTTTCAGGCTAAAAAACGTTCCCTCAAACTCTTGCCACAAAAAGAGCTGGAACTCTGATACTAATTAAAACCACACTCTTTGGTATCAAGAAGACATGTTATTATTTTCCTTTTTTTTTTTTTCCCCTTTGCTCATGAGAAGCTGTTAATATGGGCAATGCATCTGGAACATTTTCCTTCCAAACACCATGCTCTGTACCCCCTCCTGCTCAGGTCGGCTGGTTTATGAACTTGTCAGCAGTCTGGGGTGGGAAGGCTCATATTTACAAGAATAGATCTATTTTTTTTTTCTAATAACAAACCATTTGCCAACTTCATGTTATGAGAAGCACATCGAGAAAAAAAACCAAACCCTTTCAGGCTGCATGAAAGGTAACAAGTGAAAGGAGTGCCCTGCCACGGTGCCCAGTGGGCCAAATCAAGGGGTTCATCTTGCCAAAATATGCAGCAGGTTTGGAAAAACAGCCTCTGAATTTGCCAGGATGTTCCTGGATGCTCAGACAGTCCAGGAAAGGATGCAGGTTGCCCTGTGCATGACCAGGGATCCACCCTGGGGTAAGGTCTGTTAAAGAAAAGGGTAAGATTTCATGCTCATTTTACTCCCCTAATTTGCTGCTGAGGGCTCCATTGCTGTGGTATCAGCACCTCATAAACATTAACAAAATCATCCTTATAACATTTCATGAGAAAATGCTATTATCATATTTGAAGGAGAGATAATGGAGGGAAAAGAAAGAGACAAGGGGCAGGTCTGAGCTCAGCACGAAGCATCCCTGTGTATCCTGAGAGGTCTAAATGCTGTTTAAAAATGAATGTCCAAGACCAAAAAATGGTGCCTTGTTCAGAGCAGTGATGGCACTGCAGAAGTGCAAGAAGCAGGGAACTGGCTGCCCTGAGCCAGTCCTCCTGGATTTCCAAGTTCCCACTGATGTGGAGCAGTGTCCTGGATGCTCCCAGGGCAGCTGCCTCCTTCAGCTGCCTGTGGGAGAGCAGGGCTTGGTCTCCACAGAAGCATCTGCACCACTCTCCAGGAAAACACACATGGCAGGAGGGACCCTCCAGGGAAGGCACTTGTCCCACCAGTGTCACTCATGGGGCCACAAAAGTCAATAATGTTCCATCAGAGCAATGTGGTTTCTGGTTTCTGTCTGGGAATGTGGCTTTCCCTGGGTCGACTCAAAACAAAACTCAGCTTCCCTTTTCCCAGCCACAAAGATGCCAGATTTTAATTCCTGGTGGTGCAAAGTGCAGGCAGTGGGGGAGGAGGAGGCCTTGAGGGGCTGAGAGATTTTCTTTTAGATGTATTTTTTGGTGGCACTTTAGCTTTGAGCAAGCTCCTGCCTGGTTAGCGAGCTCCTCTGCTCGCCAGCAACACAGAAGAGCTGCCTAAGCTACAAAAACAAGCTCATACATTCAAACTATGACTTCAGCAAAGAAGTTAAGATAGATGGGTGAACGCTCAGTAATTTGCTACGTGCTCCTATTGTGCAGGGATCCAAAGGAATAAAATATTCCTGTAATGCTAGAACCGTGAGGCCCAGCCCCAGTACCATGTTGGGATCCCAGTATTAGCTCTGCCACAGCATCCCCTGGCTCACCCACAAAAGGAGCCTGATGGTACCCACCTCCCCAGCACCTACCTCCCTTGCCCTTTTCTTTGGAATTTCTCCCCAAAGATCAAGTCACCCAGTTCTTGAGGAGGTGGCCCCAACACGGGGATGTTGAGACGTCGCCTCCCGCCGGTGTCACCCAACTGCAAAGCACCAACCCACCCACACCCAAAGAGGAGTAGGGAGTCCCAGGGCTGGCTGCACAGCTCCAGTTCTCAGACATGGGAGGGGGCTGGGGAGGGCAGGGGCTGCCTGGCAAACCCCCCCATCCCCTCCCTCCTGCTTTTCATTTGAGGTTGACAGGCGAAGCTCCAACACATCATTACAGCCTTGAGGAGGCTGCTGAAGGTAACACTCATGTTACAAATGAATTAATAGGAAACACTTACCTTCCCCACTAGCTTGCCTTTCCTGTTCATGCAAAGGTAGAAGTCTGTCTCCTTCCCTTTGATCCGGACTTGACTGCCAAAAGTGTCTGTTTCCACTAGAAGCTGGGCTTGTAAAGGAAGAAGAAAAAAAAAAACACAACATTTACCAGTGTGGTCCCATTAAGTCAGAGCATGCAAAGCTCATCAGCACCTCGTGCCATCACCTCTACCTGAACCACACCACACTGGGATGATGTTCTGCAAGGACACAAGCCAAGGAACCACCCCAGGGCTCCAGGCTTGGTCACAGGTGCAGATCACACACATCTCCATTGACACCTCTGTGGATGTTCCAGGTTTCATGGCAGTTCAGCACTAAATACCCCCATACATGCATGTGCTCCACCAGCCCACCCCAACCCCACCAGCAATATAAAGCTGAAGGCTCTACTTCATGCTGCAGGAGGATTCTTGGAGGGCAAGAACTTGGATGTTATTCTCATGAAGACAGAAGATGAGCACCACAAGAATGAAAACCCCTTTCCCACAACCAGCAGCTCTCCAACACTTCAGAGAAGGGGTCCAGCCACATGCTCATCGTGCAAAACATCACAGTGATCTCCTGAAGACCAGCACAAGAGCTAGCAAGGGAGAAATTCAGTGCTGCTCATTCTCTCTGGTGAACTCCTGCTCTGCAGATGTCCTCTGTGTGGCCAGCTCTGTTCCCAGGAGGTCACTAACTGCTTTCTGACAGTCCAGGTCTATCAGTCCTGCTCCAGCTGGGAGAAAAACATCCAGTCTCATAATGCCTCACACATCTACTGGGGCCAGAGCTGGTTGGCAGCACTGCCAGGAGCCACAGTAGAGGACAGATTTCTGCTGCATCTTCATGAACCACCTGCCCTGACACCACTGCACTTGCAGAAGAGGCTGAGCTGCCACCCAGATGTGCAGAATCCCATCACCATCTCAAAAACCTTCACACGTCCAAATTCAGCACTTTATTCCCTCCGATCTACACATGAATTCCAGTCGTGCTCGAGGTTCAGATTCCAGGAATTTCCCTGGAGAGGCAGGAACGGGCAGACTGGACATTTTGGTTCAGATCCACCTCTGATAGGGAGGGGGAGCAAGGAGCCATGGTGGAAACACAAGGCAAGAATGTGTAAGTGTCAGCAAGTGCAAATCCGCCCTCCTGCTCTGGAAAGACTCATGCTTGTAAGGCCCGAGCCCTGCTGTAGGAGCAGGGCCTTGCCAAACTCTGGAGAATGTTTGATCTGGGCTGCAAAAAAAAAGTCACATTCTTTTTGGCATTCATATTTCAAACCTTTCAAACCCTCTCAAGAGCAGACACACTCGCCGCGCGGCTTCACCGGGGGGACAGAAATAGGAGGTTGTTTCATTTAAACACATTCGTATTTTTCCCACTTGTAAAGGCAGCTCTTGGCTCCTGCAGCAGTGCAAATAGCACAGATCTTTAACTCACGAGGGCCCTCAATGGAGTTTTCCCTTTGCAGCTCAGTCACATAGGCAAGTTCAGGGGTTTCCAGTTCGTGGCTGTTTACACTTACTTAGATCCATTTATTAAACCTGTTACCACGTGGGATATTTAAATAACAGCTTCTTTCTGACAGCAAGGGGGATACTGGCTGTGTTATATAGCAGAATATAACTCACAATCACTCATAAAGATAGATATTTATCTAAGCCTTCCAGAAAAGCACCATGTTTTTGGAGGGCAGCTTGCCAGTGAGAGCCAGGTGCTGCAGGCTTTCCCTCCACACCTGCCAGGGTGGCATTGAAGCAGTGACCAACCCACATTTCAGTGAGGAAGGGCCACATGAACCAGAAACATCCCATCATAGTAAGGATATCAAGAGGAGCAAAGCCAGGAAAAGGGAGGATGACACAGAGATGGGTCTTTAAAGGGGAGGATGAGCAGCATGATATAGAACTTGGTGAACTGCTTCGAGAAGCTCAGGGAGGCTGCTCAGATGCAACGTAGCATTAACCAACCAGGGGTAGGACTGTCTTCAAACAGGTGACTGTGACAGCTCTTCCCCTCAAATGAACAAGGGTACCAGAAAGGTCTAATGGTTGACCCTGGAGGGCAAGGCAGTAGCCTGCACAGGAGGGAAGGTTATGGAGTCAGCACAAGAGGTCCCAGAGATGGGCACAAGAACCACAGCCAACATCCAGATCACCAAGGACTTGCCCACAGATCTACAGGGTGAAACCCACCCAGGAAAGGACTCTGCATCCTGCTCACAGGCAAGAACAGCACAGGGCCAGTTCCCACCTGAGGTGCAAGGCATTCCCTGTCTGTCCCCACCCCAGACTGCAAATCAAGCTGCTAAGAATAACACTGAATATCAGACCTGGGGTTTGACCAGCCAAAATAGGAGCTCAGGTTGATGAAGCACTCCGAGGTGAGAGCCTTGACCCCTGGTCCTGCAGGACAGTCAGAAACCCACACCTCCCTGACACAGGCTCCCCTGGGGGACACACACGGGGCACGCCAGCTCCCGTCCCCCACCCCCTCCCTCTGCAGCCAGCATGAGTAATATCCAAGCTGATTTTAATTTGAAAAATATCACCTTAAAAAAGATGCCGGTTCCCTGCTGTGAAAATTAAAACCATCTGGATGGAGTGATTTCAAATAATTAATCTAGGTCTCCTTTGACACTGCTACTAATTAAAATATGATACCTTTACTCCCCTTTTTAAATAAAGAATTGAAATAAAGTTTAAAGATCTAATAAAATAATGTCATAATTTAGAACTAAATGGAAGTCTCCTTCCTGGGGGCTGCAAAGGTTACACCAGCACAGACATCCCTCCTGGGCCAGTGCCACAGCATGGGCTGAGAAGCAGCAAATGGACAAGCAGCCAATGTGACACCCACAACAGTCAATACACCAGCCTCCATACCCCAGAGCCCCAAGGAGGCTCGTGAGCCCCTGAGATCAATCACCACCCTCCATCTAGGAGTGGGGAGCCCAGGGAAGAAGGTTCATCAGATCTGTCTGCTCCCTGCTCTGACCTTTGCTGCCAAAGTACAGGCTGAGGCCACCCACAGGTACCCACTTCTGAAAAATCCCAGTCTTAAGATGCTGGAAACATGTTCACATTTCTAGGGAGCTTTGACCTCTTTTCCTACAAGTGATCAGTGCAGCTTTAGGGTTGGGTTCATAACCCAGCTGGCTTCCAGCCTAGGCAACCCTTACAGCTGAGTCTCCTTTTTACAAGAAGCATCTCCCTTAATTCTCTCAGGAGCTGAAGCAGAGACCTTGGATAACATACCTGATCAGCTAAAATCATCTGGGGTAAATCCTAGTTCTGACTGCTGCAGCAAGAGCTGTGGGGAAAGGAGACTGGCCTGGCAGAAGGGGCCAAGGTCTCCCACTCCACCCCACTCAGCAGGAGAGGAGCTCAGTCACCACCAAGAGGATTTAAATCAAACCAGACCTGGCTTGCTCTCTTCTTTCCATAATAAAGATGCTATGGCCACGACAAAAGCACCAAGGAAAATTCAAGGGAACATCCACTGAAAGGTCAGGTAAAGTCCCAGCAATCCAGAACAGCATCCCAGGGCAGTCCCAGCTGCTCAGGGCACCTGCCTTCCAGCTCCACTAGTCCCTGCATACCCTGTAGAGAGATTACAATCTGTATTTTCAAAAACCCTGCACTCTAGCCTTCAGATCAGTTATTATTGTTTAAATTCTTTGACAGCTAGATATTCTGATGTATTTTCCAGGGGGGGAACAAAAAAAGAGCTAAAGATGTCTTTAGAGGGTGAGATCTTCTGCTACATGCTTTTGCCTCATTGGCCCATTTAACCTAAACCTTCCTGAAAACTCCCACTGGAAAAGACTGGAATTCCTCACATGTCTAGGTGAAAAGGATTACATATATATATATGTTGAAAAGCTATCTTCCAGCTAAGAAAACATGAAGTCAGGGAGATATGTGAAGGTGGCAGAGAATATGCCAAATTAGCTTTCAAATACTTCCTAGGAGTGGGAGGACAGGAGCCAGAACTGCACAGGGAGAGAAAGGATAAAAGAGGGCACCTGAGGAGGGGGAGATTTACACGTACCTATCACAAAAGCCAGTTTCAGATAAATGAAGAGATAAAAGGGGAAATACAACAAAGGTGCAAAAGAACCTGGTACTCTGAACCTATCCACCTTTGCTTTCCACTTCTCCCACCCCACCCTCTGAGTATAAACCCTGCAAAAGGAAAAAGAAACTACAGCCTCTCATGCTGCCCACAGGCACCTTGAAGCAGGGGCAGCTATTGCACTTGTTTTCTGATGCAATCACAAAGCCAGGGAAACCATCCCCAGCACTTGAAACCATCTCCAGTTAATGAAGAGGAAGGAGGGACAGAGACACTGAGGCTGGGACCACAGCTTTTGTGCTGGAGAGCAGCTTTCCAGTTTAGTGATCATGACACTATGAATGGAGACAAAGCCCATTTCCAAAGCTCACAGCATATACTGCATCTGATGGGAGAGTAAAATTCACTCTCTGCTATGATTGAGTCTTCCAGTGTGAACCCCACCTTGGCCAAGGGTGCTTAAAACAGCTGAAACCTGTTCAAACACAGCCTGGGCCCTATCAACCCACCTGAGTCTTTTACATGACCACAAGATAGGAGAGAATGACCCTGTCTGCACATCCATGACATAATGACAAGGGAATAATGCCAAAATTAGGTAAAGTCTGGAGGGTCTAATAGAGCCCACAGGTTATGAGCAAGTGAGGAAATCCAGGCTGTATCCTCAAGATTTGCTTGCACACTTGTCTAGTCCTCCAAACTGCACCATTTGAACTAGTTATAACTCACAGAATCACAGAATTTTTTTAGTTGGAAGGGATCTTCAAGATCATCCAGTTCCAACCCCCCTGCATGGGCAGGGACACCTCCCACCAGCCCAGGCTGCTCCAAGCCCCATCCAACCTGCCCTTCAACACTGCCAGGGATGGAGCAGCCACAGCTTCCCTGGGCAGCCTGTTCCAGTGTCTCACCACCCTCACACTGAAGAATTTCCACCTGATCTCTAACCTAAATCTCTCTTCTTTCAGCTTAAAACCATTACCCCTCACCCTCTCACTGCAAGCC